TGTGCGTCACTGAGATCTGCTGCACACTTCCCCTTTTCCATGTAAAAAATAACTAAGACAATCCAGTCTCTTGCAGCCCAGGTTCCCCTTGTATTCATGGAAAACACATGGGGATTTTTGTTTCCTTATTTTTCTATCTAACTCTCAGCTGCCCCCTCCCTAACCTCTTTCAAGCTAAATGTTTTTATCTATTTTACTCCATTGTGTCATTATTCAAAGCCTCAATGATCCACCATTCTCACCTGCTGGAAATTTCATCCACCACTTCTGAGAAACCATGTAGAACCAACATCTGCCCAGGCATGGGGACCAAGAAACCCAAAAAAGCAAGAAACTCCCAAAGACTTCCCTGAGCTAACCTGATAGGATAACCCCACTGCTATGAAAGCAAGAAGACTCTTCTAAGGCTCATCTTCTAAACTGAATTACGTTCTGGCCAGCATCATGAGAACTATGCTTTTCTATAGGTCTATTTCACATTAGATCTTTCTCTTTGTTAAAATCCTTGAAAGGCTGCCAAAAAGATACAGTTCAAGTCAGTACTGGTTGACATTCAAGGCTATTTCCAAGCTGCCTACCTTCTGACATCAACTTCCAGTCACCCTGCTGAACCATTCTGCCTTTTAAGTCACTCTTCCCCCAACCCCTTCCCTCGCAAGGCCTTTGTGGAGTCCCCGTTCCATGCCTTTGCTCAAGATGTTCCTCTAGCAAATTTTATGTTGATCTTTGGTGGCCAGCGTCAGACCCAGGACATGGCTTACACTTGGGACTTAGGAAGATTTTCTAAAGCATAAAAGTATGAACAGGAGAGCCAGCTGAAAAACAACTTTACTTTTTTCATAATTTGACCTAAGGTGGAGCCCACGACAGCAGACTGTAGGTGTCAGTGGGAACAACATGATTTTTCTTTTATTCTAATATATTGTTCATATGTTGATGTTTCAATCTTTCTGTATTTGAAGTAGAAATATTTCATTTTTCTCCTAAAAATTTATCCTTAAAAGCACTGTCAACACATGACCTTCTAGAGTCAAGGAAGCACACTGATGACATACACCAGCTCCTTCTGCATGGGTCCTTTAGGATTCATGACAGAATAGATGACACATACTGAGCTATTCGTAACTCCATCTCCACCCAAGGTACTATGCTTTCTTTGGTACCCCAAGTCTTACAATTCCATTCCACAGGAGTTTCTCAACATACAGAGAAGACAGCTTTCCAGTGAATCCAGGACAAGTGAGCAAGACCTGCACGGTGACACTGTAAGTAGCTCCCTGCAAGCCATGGTCCTGCTCTCCAACAGTTTCCTTAGTATCCACATCAAAATTAGAACACTCTACAGTGCGGGCCACTGTCTGCCACAGCTGGGGTTCTTTCAAATATGATAAAGTTCAAGTCTAAACTGTTAGATGAGATCACTGTCTTACTTCCCCTTCTCCTTTCCTTTGGAAATCCTCTGAACAGGGCCTTGTCTTGTGATGCACGGCTGCCCTCGCCCCCGCAACACCGCCCAGAGAAGACACAAGATATCCTCTTTCATTCTGCGTCACCACGGACTGTCAGACCTGCTGTAAGATGGAACTGCCTCTCCTGGATCAGTGAGTACTCCTGGGTGCAAGTGCAGGGCATCCACCATGCCCAAAGCACTTCATCCAGAGTCATGTTCCTTCTCTATACCAGGGCAGCTTCACTCAAGAGAGTGCGGACACGACACTCAGCACAGTCACAGGCCTCTCGTGCATGGCCTCACTCTTGTGGACACTTCACTGGATGATGTCTCTTCTCCTAGATTTTAAACAAAGGTCAAATCTCACAGTAAAGGAGGAAGGGGGATGGTTCAGAGTCTATTTGCATATGTTCTCAAAATACCTCCCTGGAGAGCCCAATCTATTATAATTTCAAAAGCTAAATTGAACAATGAACCTCATGGATGTTATGTATTCATTTTTCTATTTTTTCCTCAAATCACTCATCCTTCTTCAAAAGTCACAGGGCAGAAAAGGGATGAGGCAAGGACCCTTTGGGAAGTCCACTTAGACTACTGCTGTCCACGTTTGGCTTCACCGTAGAGCTCTTGTGCGCGTCTCTACTGAACCCGCTCAGATTTCTTGCTCTGCATCTTTGAAACAGAGAGACTAAAAAGACACAGCTCTTTCCCAGCTCATTAGGGTTATGAACACTAATTGAACATCATCTGCTTGAAGTTCCTGGTAAAAGGTGAATGATTAAAAATTATATGTTTTATAAGGGTCCTTTGTGAATCACAGTCATCAATATGGCAGGAAGCTCTATGACACCAGAAGACAGCAAGCCAGCCCTGTGATCTGCAGGTGGCCTGCAAGAATGTGATTCAAAGGGGGCAAACAGGGAAATTCCCTCCAAAGGACCTTGCTTCGCCTCCCCACCCAGCAGAGGGGACAGGCTCCCAGAGGAACAGGAGCTCACCACAGCATCAGGTGAAAGTCCCTCACTTCATGGCTACCTCTCTTCCCTGAAACCTCTGACAAAAAAGCTGTCAAAAGAGGACGGGATACTTAACCTTCTGTAAGATGAAATAGTTCAGCATTTCACCATTGGCCTTGTTTCCAGAATACTCTATCCATTTTTTGTTGTACAAGCACAATCAGTGAAAAGGTATAATTATTGGGCTGGAAAATAGCAAATAACTATAGAATATGCTGAGACCTGTTCAAAAGTATTTAAAAGTAACAGCACATATCAGGTGGAAGGTACCTGCTTAGTTTACTGGCAGAACACCACTGTGCTAACCACCAACCTCAACCACAATTTAATTTTTCTTTAATGTGGTGCTGGGGTTCAATCCAGAGCCTTGCATGTGGTAGCTATGTGTTTTCCCCAATCTTATAGTTGGTTTCTTTAAAAATAAGCACAATGTGATTTTTCAGTGATCCTCTTCCATGGGCCAACAGAAAAAGAAGAAAATGCCGAAAAGATTGCTGCCTTTTTCTCTCAACTGTTGGGAGAGCCCTTCAGGATAAATCTTGAAGAACTGCATGCAGTAGACAAGCCCATACATTACAGAGTTACATCATCAGCTGACATCCACGGAGAAGCCAAAGGTTAATTGCTACGGTTTACTGAACCATTCCAAACCACCCTGCGCAAGAAGATTTAACTTGACAACTGTTTGAACTTTACAGTCTGAAATTTCATTCCCTTGTTTCATGAGTACTTTTTAATTACTCCCCGGAGGATATTAATAATGTTTTCTTTTTTTTTTTTTTTTTAATTACTGTCTGGAAGGGACAGCGGTTTCATGTTTTCCTCCTTGTTTGAGACAACTACAACCCTGCCTCCCTAGTCCAGGAACATGTCTATTTTCTGTACCGTAAGTAATTAAGGTAGAAAACAGAGATATCGAGATAGAGTTCTTACAACTGGGGAGCCACTGTCAGACCACTTGGCTCCATGCTCACTCCCTGCTATTTAGTCAGCTGGGTAACAGCGAGTGAGTTATTTCCCTCTCCTGACTGTTTCCGCACCTATCAGCCGTGATTGGTAGCAATAAAATGGTAATGGCACCGATCTTTTGTGTTCAAGTTGAAAAGATGGGGATGGATAATATATGTAAATATTTACTTCGGAGCCTGACGTAGGATGAACACTCAGATAACAGTGGTTTTTTTTTTTTTTCCCCCTCTGGTATTTCTGGAGACTGAACCCAAGGTCCTCACCTTGAGCTACAGACCCAACACTGCCCCTCCTTTGTATTTTTCACTTTGAGACAGGGTTTCACTGAGTTGCTCAGTTGCCCAGACGTCACTGAAACTGCCACTCCTTCTGCCTCATCTTCTGAGAGTGCTGGGATTGCAGACTTATGCCAACGTGCCTGACTACCATATTTTTAAAAGTGTTAATGCTTCGACTCTACAAACAATTTTGGAGTTGGGTTCCCTGGTCTCCCACAGAGAACAAGATAGAAGTAAAGTGGCAGTGCAAACACCTAGTCGCCTACAATACACGGTGGGCGAAGGCAACTGTGGCATCTCTGCTGAACAGCACCCAGGGTGCCGGTCTGGATTCACTGAGCACCTCTGCAATCAAGAGAGCAAACTGGTGGGCCTGAAGAATGCACAAACGCATTGGTGCGGTCACTGCCCAGGATAAGTGGCAGACGAGCGGCCTGCCTCTTGTGCAAAGCTACACACACTCAGGGATTTCCTGCAAGGTAAGATGGCAAATCAGAGAGAGCCACAGAGCGATGCCGGGATGCTACATTCATGTGGTTTAAAATGGAGGTTCCAGGGGACAGTAACCACTCGCAAAGGGGAGCAAAATGCCAGGACTGTCAACCTCCACACGCTGGGCTTTATAATGCCACAGGCACTGCAGTCTCAGACTCTGAGAATGTCAAAAGGAAACCGCAAAGCACCTCCTGCAACAAAGCTCTCGCAGTAGGGCCTGGATGCCCTCCTAGCACGCAAGGCTCCATCGCCTACATCTTCGCGCGTTCACGGCTGGATGGCACTTGTCTGCCACAGGATGGAGATGCAGCAGATGTGAGGAGGAGGCCTAGGATGTCCCAGAAAGCGGGTGGCCCCTGGTAGCCACAGCCTAAGTCACTTGTGTCGGACCCGTCCTCGCAAGCTACCCCTCCCCCGCCAGGGCATCACAGTCACAAGATACAAGAAACCAGGAGTCTGGGGACAACCCTGCTGCCCAATGCTCACATCCGGGGCCCTTACGGCTTTCTGTGTGGCCTGCCACCACAGGTGGCCCCTAGAATTAACAATGCAAGGTCCTCTGCCCTTCCCAAACTGGCATCACGGACCATCTTTAGGGACAGGCACAGGACAACGCCCTTGGGGAACAAATCCTACAGCAGCCGGGTACCTGGATGCGACCCAGGGTTGATGGGGCACGAGGGTGGGTCTCCAGAAGCCGGAGCTGAGCCTCCCGTTCAGCTGCGGGAGACGCCCCGCCCCTCGCTCGGCTCGGTCCCGCGCTGTGAGCCCCGCGGCCCAGTGGCCCCTTACCTTGGCCCAGGACACCTGGTAGGGGACCTGTGGGTCCCAAGGTGCGGGGCAGGGCAGGTCCACCGTCCCGGAGCAGGCCACCTTCACCTCTCGTGTGGCGGGCGCAAGGCTGCAGGCTGCAAGAAAGAGGGGAGAGCATGGTGAGAAGGTGACAGACGTGTTGTCGCGGGCAGGAGGGTGACAGGCGCCCCGGGCCCTACCGCAGCTCAGGAGCAGGAGCTGGAGACAGCGCGGCATGGCTGAGGTGCTACTGGCTCGCTCGCGCCCGCGCTCTTGTACCCGCGCGAGGGGACTTCCTCGCGCCACCGGGGGATCCCCGCCCGCCGGCCTCCCGCGCCCCCGCCGCGTCCCCGCCCCCGCCGCGTCCCCGCCCCCTCCGCGCCGCCCGCCGGGGGCGCCCGAGTCGGCTCTGCGTCGCTGCTAAGGCTGGCGGCTGCCTCAGCCAACCCCGCGGAACGCCCCGCGCGTGGGTCTCTGCACACCGCGCCTGCACGCGTGACCCCGGCCCGGGACCCTCAAAACGAAGCTGGGAACCAGGCCATCCAGCTGGCTGGGCCGGTTTTACAGAAACGAAACTAGGATCAGAGAGGTTGGACAGCATCCCTCCAAGCCCGGCTATGCCGTGCTGACGTCACTCGCGAACCTAAATCCACACTTTTCGCGATTTTGCAATATTCAACAGCCTTCCTTGTAATGGGAGGAGTCTGCAATCTCCTGTCTTCCCTGGCACTCTCTTCCAGACAGCTTAATTTCTCCAAAAGAGAACCTCTTCGTCTAAAAAACAATGTATGCGCGCGCGCGCGCGCACACACACACACACACACACACACTTTTTGGAAAAGCAAAGAACTCTAGGAAGCAGTGAGTCACCTGTAATCCTTCCAACAGTAAATTCCATTAACATTTTGGTAGGCTGACTTCAGTGAGTAGATAAGATTTAATAATTTAATTTTCATATTCGCCTGCACGTTGTTTTACTTTAGCTTAATACTTTGCAAGCAGGTCCACAAATTTAAATTTTCAGCACCATCTTTTTGATGCCCATGTTATGTTCATTATTCAATGGTACACAAACTAGAACTGATTAGGTAGGTAGTGTTGGACGTTTAGGGTTTCTTTATTGGTGTTGGTATAGTTATTGTTGTTGTTGTTAATAGTTCTAATAAACTGTGATTGCTATGTGGTGTTTTGTGTAAATAAACCTTTCCCTTAAGATTATTTTATTATACTCAGTAACCTAGAGGCAATTATGCTAGATATAGGGGAAGGGGTTCCAATTTACATACCCGCCTGTAGTTTCTGCCATCAACACCGTAACAAAACTGTTATTCCACTTAGTCCATCCAAGAGGATAAAAAGAGTGGCATGATGGGAGATTTTAATTTTTCTTGTTGTACTGTCTTAATCACTGCTTAGTCTCTGAGACACAATATCCAGCACCTCGAAATTAAAGGAGGAAAGGTTTACCTTGGCCCACAGTTTTTAAAAATTTCAGTCCATAGTCAGCTGGCCCTGGGCAAAGGGGTATGGTACAGGAGAAGCAGCAGAGATTAAAGGAGGAGGGCAGGCCACGCCCTACACCCCCAGGCCACGCCCCCAGAGAGCCACCTCCCTGACATCACTTTTAGCTATAAATTCGTCATTGGACTAACCCAGTAATGAGTGTCATGCACGTTCCCCCGAGCTCCAATCACCTCCCAGATACCTCACCTCTGAGCACACGAGGGGGGACATCTAGACATAAACCACAAATCTGTATGAGTTAACAGTCACTCCAGTTATATGTGAATGCCTTCCCCCATAAACCCTCACCCAGTTAAACTTTCAGTTTGGAAAATTTTAGGAATACAAAAGTAAGTCTAGAAAATAATAGAATAGAACATATCACATGTTCCTAAGAAATAAAACCTTACTAAAATATTTGATTTTTAAATGCTCCAGGCTGGATCCTACACTTGGGCATCCACACTGCTTTCCAGTGTCCTCCACTACACCCTGTGCTGCTGGGAACCCCGGGACTGGGCCAGCCCTGCTCAGCATATGCTGTGTCATCCCGTATTCTGTATTGACAGCTGCCCCCTGGACCTAGTCGTACCCTCTCAGAAGATTGCAGCCTGGCCAGGTTGGGTTTTATTCATTTTTGTTGATCTTATTATGAGCACAAGCTATTAAGTGCTTTCTGCTTAACCGATGTTATGGGTTATGGATTTTCTGAAGCCACTGAGGGCCGTTGTCTGATTCTGCCCATTCATTTCCTTTGGCCTTTCCCATAAGAACTGCTCAGAAATTCTGTACCAAAGCTTTTCTTGCATAAGTGCATGCCAAATTCCTGCTCCGACTTCAAGATTTGTATCTTCCACTTTGGTTATGGTATCTTTAATGCACAAAAGAACCTTCAGAAATATTTTAATTTAATTAAATGTATTCCCCCTTTTAAATTTATGGCCCTTACTTCCAGTGTTGTGTTTAAGAAGTCTGTTCCTACCCGAGATCATTAAAACATTCTCTTTCATTTTCTTCCCACACTTTTAAACTCATGCTTTTTCATAGGTAGGTCTTTAATTCATTCAAATATAGTTTGGCATAGATATCTTATTTTTTCCAAGTGGATATCAAATTATTCTCGTGCTGCTTCCAGAAATTCTTATTCCTCTATATATGCAAAATGAAATCTCTGCCATATTACAATTTACACCCATGTGGGCCCCATTTCTGGTTGTATGCTATCATTCTGTGCTGATATTACACTTTCTTCTAATAGTTTAAGTCTTGCAAAGGTGGTAGAGTGAGTGCGTATTGGTTGAAGTTTCCTTTTATGGTTGTCCTGGATTTCTTGGTTCTTCACCTTACACAAGTTAGAGTCACCTTACAACCATAAAACAAACAAATAAACAAATAGTTCAAATTCTAATACAAGCTATTATGGGCTACTGGACTCTTTTAGAATATCTTGCTGAGTTTACACAGCTATAATATTCAGTAACGGAACTTAGGAAAAATGGGGTACACCGATGAATGTCCATTCTGTATCTGTGTATTCAAAGTGGTTGGGGTAGATATATAGTTGCATTGTCTTAATGACTGGAATGATTTGTTCTAATGGTGTTTGTAAATAGGATCACAAGTCCGCATCTTGTACAGCAATTAACCACTAAGAAGAATATATGCAGTGTATTATTTGTTGAAACTGTACTTCCGATTTGATTTGAAACTGTCTCATTGCTATATGTTTATCAATAAAACTGTAGGAAAAAAAATTCTAATACAAATGCATTCAAGTTAAAAGTTGCACAAAATTAACATATTTAGAAATCAATTCCATAATCCACCAGTACCAGGTATCTTTCTACTCATTTAGGTCTTCAAGAGTTTTATTTATTTATTATATTTTTAATTTATTTTGCGGTACCGGAGATTGAACTCAGGACCCTGTGCTTGCCAGGCAAGCGCTGATTCTACTGAGCTAGCTCCCCAAGAGTTTTATTTATTTTTTTTTTTGCACATAAAGGTTTTTCACATATTTTGATAGATTTATCCCTAAGTACTTTTTTAAAAAACATTTATTTATGCACGTATGTATTCATTTATTTATTTGGTACAGGGTCTCACTGCACAGCTCCGATTCATGGTGATCCTCCTGGCTCAGCCTCCCCAGGGCGGGGATTACAAGCATGCACCACCACGCCCAGTTTCAGCGGGCAGCATCACACAGCAGAGGTTCTAGGGCTGGCACTGCGTGTGGTCCTGGTGACCCACCTCCAGTCCTTGCACTTGCCAGGCAGGTGCTTAGATCACTGAGCTATCTTCCCAGCCTATCCCTAAATACTTGTACTGTTTCAGTTGCTCCTTTCACCTATATATTTTCTAAACTGTATTTTCCTCGATAACCAGTGAATATAAATTTATTTTTTTTATTGGTGTTATATTCTTGGATGCCACATTCAGGTACTTCTTTAAACATGAATTATTTAAAAATTTCCCCAACATATATGGTTTGATATTAACTGCTGCAATTAGTGTCTAACCCTTGAAGATCATTTTTGTTTGTTTGTTTTTGTACTGGAGTTTGAACTCAGGACCTAGCAGTTGCCAGGCAGGTGTTTAAGGCTTTGAGCTGTCTCCCCAGGTCCCATGAAGATTATTAAGGAAACAGTCTCTTCAATTCTTTGTTGTATATCAGGATTGCTCTCTGGCCTGTGATATGGTTGACCTTTTGGTATCATTCATTCCTGGAAAGAATATATATTCTTGACACAGATCTTTGTGACCAAGTTTGCTCTTGGGACCATTCAGCTCTTCCGTGTTTGTTTGTATCTTTATTACTATAAACCATCAAATCCTATGAGATTTGTTAGATTTTCTAATTCAACTAGAGAATCATTCATTTCCTTTTGAAATTCTGTCAGTTTTTGCTTCATTATAATTTGATGCTATCTTTACACGCCTGCGTGTTGCATCCTTCCAGTGAATTTTTTTTTCTATGATTTAGTGACATTTTCTTCTAAACATTCCTTTTTACCTGAAAGACAACCTTGCATCTATTCTTACTATAGCTATACCACTTTCTCTGAACTGATATTTTGCTGATAATTTCCTTACTTTTACGTTCAACATACATTTATTTGTCTTTATTTTTTAAATGTCTCTTTTTAAATGCCTAGTTAGATTTTCTAATTCAATATGACTGACAGTCTGTATGTATAATTGAGAGCTTAATTTGGCTTACTCTCTGAATTTTCCTGCACTTGGATTTATTTCAGTCATCTTGTTAAGGGCTTTACTTAACCCAATTTTCTCTCCCTTTTTTGCATCCATTTTATTAATTTTTATACCTCCAGTGGTATAAAAATTTGGATTTGGAAATCCTACATACGAGTTTTGATTTGGAAATCCTACATACAAGTTCTCTCCTTAAGTGATTACCCTGGAATATTCTAAAAATCAAACTCCTTTCATAAATTCTACAATCAATGAGTATTCCTGCCCTTCCCCGCCAAATCCCCAGATGCCTCAGCTCTGCCCTCCGTCCCCGCTTCACACACTATTATAACCAGGGCCTTCACTTCATCTTGTTTCAAATGCCCCAAATAGACTTTTATATGTTAAATATCTGTGTAAATTTAATCTCACTTCTTTGTTTTGAGATCAATTTCTTCTGAAGTACATTCTTAAATAAATGTATGTTTAAGTCTGTTCTTAACTAAAATTTTATAGCGTCTGTCTCAGTTGCAGACACTATAAATGGTTTTATAAGTAGTTTTGTTTTTATTTTATAAAAATAATTTAGAAATATATTTATAAAAATAAATG